GTTCCTGCAGCTGCTGGTATGAAAATCAGCCCCAGAGGCTGAAAAATAAGAAACTAAAGGACGGCAGACATTGGGTGATGAGCATGCTAATCTTACACAGCATCCACAAGAACCCAGGAACCTGATGAAGCTAGTCAGATTGTTGCAACGGAAGCACCCTGAATTCTACAGAGCAGTGCAGCCGAACACAGGACCCTTCAGTGACCCTGCCACCTGGATCAAGACCCCAGCTCTGCTTCTTTTAGCTTCATGATATTCTTCGGCATCTCTGTATCTTCATTTGTCAGTGGACACAGCAAATGAAGATACAATCCATGTCATGGATTGTTGCCATGACCATTAGGTTTATTCATGTACCCTGAAGTGAGTGGGGGGTGGAAGGTGCCCAGAAATGCTGAAAGGCAGGACTGAGCTCCGTCACTGATGAGAAATGGACTTGAGGTTCAGCTCACCCTCAGGCTTCTTGCACGGCACCACGTGCAGGTGGAACACTTGTGAAGTCTGTTGTGTGGATATTCTTTCTGTTGGGGGTGCAGAGATAGAACTGCGAGAAGAATTTTAAAAATGGCTGGAGGGCTGCAAGCTCACTCTGCCAGAGCAGCAGCAAAGAAGCGCCCCATGGCCTTGTATTTACTGTCCCACTACGTACGCACATCTAATGCACTCAATATAAAGAAATCGTTAACAGGGAAAGGGGGTTACAGGAGGGATATCAAGACATCAAAGCATACATTGTTCTGTCATGTCTGCAAGCCCAAGGGTTGCAGCCTCCAGAGAGGAATGCAAGGCCAAGCAGCCTGGCACTGTGAGCTACAGCCTCTTGCACCTGGAGTGATAAGGGAACATGAGAGAATGTATCCCAAAGCTGAGCTGGGTTAGGGATCTATGAGAAAGGGAAGACTGCTTCTCTGTACTACAGAGAGCTAAAAGGCAGCCAAAGGAAGTGATGTCAACCCTGTCCAGACTAGTCCAGACCCACAAGTCATGGCTCACCCATTTTCATGGGGCCTGTGTTCCTGTCCACATTCGGGTCAGTCTTTACGGGCTCATCCTAACAGTTCTGATTGGGCACCAACAGAAGTCACTGAAGTGGTCTGAGTCTGAACCGTTTTGTTCCTGGGGTGCCCTGGTGAGGATATAGACTCTGCTGTCAGGGATCAGCACCTGTCAATGGCAGGAACCTCCTGGAGTACAGCCCTAGAGCATATTCCCAGCACAAGCTCAGCAATGACAGCTGATGCTCTCTTACATTTGCCAAATGAGAGCTCAGCAATTCCCTCCCTCCCTGCTATCCCCCCTCCCTCCCTCCTTCCTTCCTTCCTTCCTTCCTTCCTTCCTTCCTTCCTTCCCTTCTTTCCTTCCTTATTTTCTTCCTTCCTTATTTCCTTCCTTCCTCATTTCCTTCCTTACTTATTTCCTTTCTTCTTTTCTCCCTTCTTTCCTATCTTTTCTTCATTTTTCCCTTCTTTCCTTTTATTTTGAAGAGCAAAATTTTTTGTCAAGCACAAGTCTTAAGCAGAACACCCATGTCCAATGCAGGAAAATTCAGTATTTCAATAATGCCCTCTCATTTAAGAAAAAAACAACACTATTTTAATACTATAAGATGCATTGCATGGTATTGCATAACACCTTATTCAATAAAATCTAAAGTTTTCTTAATTATAAAACAAATACTATTTGCCCTAAGAACTTTGTAGATGTTATTCACTCTCCTTACAGTGATCTGCCCCCCAGATACCTGGGTAACTTACAATCTTACCCTTCATTTATGCCCTTAAATGCCTTCTTGAATGAGCTTTTTGTTGACCAGATACAGAAAATTGTCAGGACATCCCCACTCTTGCTGGTCACTGCTTTCTCATCCTTCTAACCACATGGACTTTAGCTTTCTTATCTGTATTTGTCCCCAAAGGCTTGAAATGTGACAGTCAGGAGGGCAAGAATGTTGTGGTTTTAAGCAGTAATAATTAAAACAGCATGGTACTGGAACAAAGGCAGAGCTGCAGACCAATGGAACAGAGTTGAATATACTGACATCTCCTCCCAAGCATATGATCATCTAATCTTTGATAAGGGGGCAAGAAAAGTGAAATGGAGCAGGGAAAGCCTCTTTAATAAATTGTGCTGGCAAAACTGGACGGCTACATGCAAAAAAGTGGGCTCAGATCTCTGCCTAACGCCATGCACAAAAGTAAGATCAAAATGAATTTATGACCTCAACATCAGACCGGAATCCATAATGTTTATTGAAGATAAAGTTGGCAAAACTCTCCATGATATTGAAGCTAATGGTATCTTCAAAGATGTCACGCCACTGGCCAAGCAAGTGAAAACAGAGATAGACAAATGGGACTATCTTAAACTAAGAAGATTCTGCACCTCAAAAGAAACAGTGACCAAAATACAAAGACAGCCTACAGAATGGGAAAGGATATTCGCCAAATACACATCTGACAAGGGGTTGATATCAAGGATATACAAGGAACTGGTTGAACTCCACAAGAAGAAATCACCCAACCCCATCAAAAAATGGGGCGAGGAAATGAACAGAAACTTTCGCAAAGAAGAAACCCGAATGGCAAAAAGACACATGAGAAAATGCTCTACATCACTAATCATCAGAGAGATGCAGATCAAAACAACAATGAGATATCATTTCACACCACAGAGACTGGCCCACATCCACAAGAACAAAAGCAACCGGTTCTGGCGCGGATGTGGCGAGAAAGGGACACTCCTTCACTCTTGGTGGAAATGCTGGATGGTCCAACCCTTTTGGAAAACAGTATGGACGATTCTCAACAAATTAGAATTTGATCTCCCATTTGACCCAGCAATAGTACTCCTGGGAATATATCCCAGAAAGGCAAAAAAGTATAGTCGAAGTGACATCTGCAATTGTCTGTTCATTGCAGCACTCTTTACAATAGCCAGAATCTGGAAAAAACCTGAGTGCCCGAGAACAGATGACTGGTTAAAGAAACTTTGGTACATTTACACAATGGAGTACTATGTAGCTGTTAGAAAAGAGGAAGTTATGAAATTTACATATAAGTGGTATTACATGGAAAGTATCATATTAAGCGAAATGAGTCGGAAAGAGCAGGATAGACACAGAAAGATTGCATTCATCTGAGGAACATAAAACAACAAAATGGGAGACTAACACCCAGGAATGGCTAAGATTAGTACCAGGAATTTTGCTCCATGACTTGGAGGCCAGCCACATGTGCTAGGGGAAAAGGAAGCTCAGATAGAGAAGAGAGCACCAAATAAAGGGTGTTGGGAGGTTCCACCCAGGGTGGGAGAAGCATGCTGAAAGTAGACTATAGACCAAACATGATTGCCACTCAATGCCTCTCTTGCAAAACACAGTACCCAAAAGAAGAGAGAGAGAACAGGTGGGAATGCCCTGCCACAGAGGCAGAGTGGGATGGGGGGTATGGGGCGTGGGAGGGATGCTGGGACCCATGGTGGTGGAAGATGGGCACTGGTGGAGGGATGGATACTTGATCGTTGTATAACTGAAACCCAAGCACAAAAATTTGTAAGTCTATAACTGTACCTCATGGTGTTTCACTAATAAAAAAATAAAAGAAAAAAAAAGAATGTTGTGGTTCTATTGTTATTACATTTCAGCATCTAGACTATCGTCTGGCCTGTCCAAGGCAAGAAAATAAAGAATCAGTGCCAGGGCCTACTCCCAACACACTGCATGGGGGCCCAGACAGTACCAGGGGGCTGAATTCCTACACGCCAGTCCTTTGAGGCTTTTTACTTACTCACCAGACCCATCCTACTATCTCCAGGTCAGCAAGAAGGTTGCTCCACTTAACATTTGTGGTATCCCTGCGATTACAACTTTGAATTTCCCTTCTTCTTTGCCTTCACAGCTTGTCCAACAGCACACGTGGGCCTAGCAGGGACCCCTCTCAGCTTCGGGCCTCCCTTCCTCACTGTATCCACAACTCATCACTATCTTTTGGTTTCAAGTGAGAGACATGGGCATTCTTCCCCTGAACAGTGAGGGCCACACTATGGATATTCTAAGTTGAACAACGTGGTGTCTTCGGGCTGGAGGGTGGGGCTGAGAAGAGAGAGACAGGGGTGGGGTTTGGCCAGTGAGTGGGGCAATCAAAACCCGTACACCTTGCCATTACCTTTGCCATCGTGACGATGTTTCTCCTGGGTCCCTGAGCAATGAAAATAGAAACACCAAAACCATAGCTCACAGACCCCCATCACCAGCTGAAGAGTAATAGAAAAGTTTGCTTTATTAGAGGAATAAGCACAATGGGGTACGAGACAGGAAGTGAACCCTCACCATTGGAAACATGGTGGATGTATGTTGCTGCAAGCTTGCATGTGTGGGAAGCTGAGGATCTGGCAGCTAGCTGGCATCAGTCAATATATATAGGGTGGCAGAGTGATAAGCAATGGGGTACAGGCCTGCAGGGGTTCCATCATTTGTTCACTATCTTTAATAAGACACAGGCCCAGAATTTAAGCTCAGGTCTAACTGTAGGATTCAAAAGCCTTTGGAAGGGAATTCAATGTAGAAGCCAACTAAGCTTAACTAACAAAAAGCATTAACATAGAAGGCTTACCCAGCATTGGCTCAGTAAACCCTCAGAAGAGGACTTGATCTCCCCGTGGTGAGATACAACAATTTTCACAAATTTCCTTTTCCTGTAGTATTTCTTTTTATCATTTCATTAGCCATTTAGTGGTAACAAGCAATATAAAATAAATTATTTTGGGCCTGCAACTGGGGCAGACTTGAGGGGAGTTTGGGAAAATGGGAAGGTGACAGTGGTGGTGGGATTGGGGTTGGAATGCTGAATGTCTGTAACGAATCATCATGAACAACTTTGTAAACCACGGTGCTTAAATTAAAGGGGGGGGGGGGGGATTAAAAAATAGAATTTGGAAGGTTCTTGCTTCCAAATTGCCTGCAGTCTATCTTGACTCTCTCTCTCTCTCTCTCTCTCTCTCAGTCATCTTATTAAATCAGTAAAGATAGGCCGTAGCTATTTCACCATGCTGAAAGAGGAGATTGCAATGAAAAAGCAACAACAACTCCTTGCAAAGCTAAAAGAAGAAGAACTGCATCGATTCCAGCCAGCCAGGAGGACCTCGGATTTGCCGTATGGACACCTTTTACTGGGGTAAGTGGACACAGCGAGGGTCATGGGGAAGGGTCTTGGGAGGGACGCCACTGGGTTGCACTGAGTAGGGGTAGGTCTCGAATGGAGCCTTTTCTCAAGCTGGGGTGGAAGGTTTCATGTTAGCCAGCTCCAGCCCTCCTTGCAAACCTCACCTTCTGGCATTCAGAAGAACCACTTCTTCTTATTATTATTTATTTATTTATTTATTTTTTATTGAATCACCATGAGCTACACTTACAAAGCTTTCATGTTTGAGTTTCAGTCATACAATGATTGAACACCCATCCCTTCACCTGTGTACATTTTCCACTACCAATCCCTCTCCCCTGCATCCCCTCTCTTCCCCTGCCTCTATGGCAGACAGTTTCCTCTTACTCTCTCTCTATTTTTGGGCATTATGGTTTGTAATACAGATAATGAGAGGCCATCATGTTTGGTCCTTCATCTACTTTCATCACACATATTAAATGAAGTACTCCCATCCCGAGCGATCCCTCCAACCATCATTGACTTAGTGATCCCTGAGAAGAACCACTTCTACTGTGTATGTGTGTTCTCATATCTGAGGCCAGGCCTCTCGCTGGTACCTAACTGTGCCACATTTTGTCCCCTGGCCAATCTGATGCCAGCCCCTAAGCCCTTCTCCATATTTCCCCTTGGGCCATAAATACCCTTCCCTACATTCTCTTCCAAATTAAACTCTACACATCATGAGCATGGGCTGGAGCGATAGCACAGTGGGTAGGGCGTCTGCTTTGCAGGCAGCCAACATGGCCAACCCAAGTTCGATTCCTCCGCCCCTCTCGGAGAGCCCGGCAAGCTACCGAGAGTATTCGATATGCCAGACACAGTAACAACAAAGTCTCCAATGGAGACGTTACTGGGCCCGCTCGAGCAAATCGACGATCAACGGGAGGGCCTTTACCTTTACCTTTACATCATGAGCAACCCAGTTCCCTCATCTCCTGTCCCAGCAGACACCCAACCACCTCAGGACCTATTTGGTCTGTTTGTATGCCCCTCTCCTTTGAATCCCCGTCTCTACACTCTACTCTCAGCACCCCAATCCCAAATCGGAGCTCATATCCACCCAAAGCTGTTGGCATATTAATAAAGTACTCCCTTCTTCTAGTAAAGATCCTTTGGAGGCAGGTGTTGGAGCACAGAACCCAGGGCTTCACACATACGAAGCTTAGGACCTGCCTCTAAGCTACTTTCTCAGTCCCTGGATTTTCCTTTGACATCTGTTATGAAATGTCCTTCCACCAGATGTAGTCCATTGGATGTAATATAAACCTCCCCTCCATAATAACAGTCAGGGGCCAGAGTGATAGCACAGCAGGGTGGGCGTTTGCCTGGCAAACCCAGACTCGATCCTCTGCATCCGATAGGGTCCCCTGAGCACCGCCACGAGTAGTTCCTGAGTGCAGAGCCAGGAGTAACCCCTGAGCAACACCACGTGTGACCCAAAGAGAAAAAAACAAACAAAAATGAAATAAAATAAAGAAGTCGTCAGTTTTATGTTGGGAAATTTCACTGCAATGGGAAACAGCAAGGGCTCTGGTTTGTGAGATCCGGGACAAGTGCAAGTGGTTGAGGGTCTTACAATTCAAGGTTCTGGTGGTGGGTGGGAAACCAGCCTACCAGACCACAGGAGGCTGTATCGTCGAGCTACTCTCCCCTGGAAGTGCAGGCCTTGGGGGGGGTCCCCGCTTCTTGGCGGTTCTCTAACTCTTCCTCAGTGCAGACTCTGGGCAGGTTGAAGCTGATGTCGAGGGTTGGGAGGTGGGGAGGGAAAACAGGAATGAACGCAGGGCTTGCTCTTTTTGCTATGGCTGGGCTCAAATTAAGGCAGCAATGAACAGACGCTGGGGTAGCAGGAAGGAGGGGGTAAACCTGTGATCCCCCTACAACAGTTTAAATAGTTTGGTGCTTAACAATGCCCTTGTTTGGATGAGGTTTTTAAAAATCTCTGGGCACAGAACATAAGTCCCCCCTCTTTGATCCATGTTCTGGTGTGTGAGACACGGTTTATTTAAAGTTTAATAAGTTTAAATATGCATGAGCTCGTTCCTCCTCCAGACGTTGGTCTGGTATCGTGGTATCTGGTGGATTCAAGGAGCAGCACAAGGGCTGGTTGTTAACATAAAACTCAGGATGGGAGCGGTTGGAGATGGGACGAGAGAGATAGCACTGCATAAGGAGCTTGCTCTGTATGCTGCGGCATGGCTGACCCAGGTTCAATCCCCGGCACTCCATACGGTCCTCTGAACCTGCCAAGGGTGATTCCTAAACAGCAGAGCCAGGAGTAAATCCTGAGCACAGCCGGGTGTGGTCCCACAAATCAAAACAAAACAAAATAAAATCTGGAGGATACAGATTGCTGCAAAGCCTTTGTAAATTCCTGGAGTCGGTTTTTCTTGTTCTGCAACACGACATGCCTAAAACCAGGATTAAGGCCCAGGGCATCCTTATGAAAAAGGAGTGTCACTTGAAAGAGGGGTGAACACAGACACCTGCCATCCCCTGACCAGGCAGGAGCCAGGCCACCAGCCCCCCCCCCCCCCACCTCCCCCCACAGAAACTCCTGCCTTTGTACTGATCCAGTCTATATAGGCCCTTTGGGCTAATGGTTTCTTAATCTAGTCCCTTAGGTCAGGCTTGGATTTCTCAGCTTTTAGCATTTGAATAACCCATGAAAGCATGAGCCCAGGGTCAGAGAGGGGAGTTAAGGCGGCTGCCTGGCATCCGGGCAACCCCAGTTTGATCCCTGGCACTGCATGTGGTCCCCTGAACACTGTCAAGGTTTGTTCCTAAGCACAGAGTCAGGAAGAGCCTCCCCTAAAAAGCATGAGCCCACAAAACTCTAACCATGAGCCCCAGTAGAAACAGAACCCTGGTTCTGCTCTCTCCCCATTGTCCTGATTTTACTGTGGTGCAGAGGTGCTGTGAGTTAACTCCACCCTTGGGTGGAGGGTGTCGTGGTAAAACGTAGTATGCAGGAAACCCTATCATTAAATCACTAATAAAAATTTTTAAAAAATTTAAAACACTGAAAGAGAAAAAAATAAATAAAATAAATCACAATAAAGTATAGTGCCTCAAAATTTAAAAACGTGCTACCATATGCAAGGAAAAAACAATTTTTCAGAATTGAAGCTGAGGGCTGCCTGGAGGAAGCAGAATTCAAAATAAGGTTCTGATTAGCATCTTTCCCGCCTCCCCTAGTCACTCCTAGGAAGTTTCTACTTAAAGGAACAGATAAGCTAGTCTCAAGGGAAGACCTATCAGGATCATCATTTACAGGAAAGCATTTATTTCTGAGGGCTGTATGGTCCTTCCTACCATCCCAGTGTTAGGACCCACTTAGCCAGAAAACTGTCATGACAGCCTCTGAGTAGCCTAGGCCTCTTCCAGGAACAAGAAAAGCAGAAAAACCAGATGCTTTTGTCAAAGATTACATCCCCGGAATAATATATAAGATTAGGTCTCCGGAATATACCTGTCAGGGAGGTGGGCTGGGTATTGTGGGCCAAAACAACAACAACAACAATATGTATGTACTCTGCAGGTAATAGAAAATTGCTGAGTAATGCTGACTTGCCAAAATGAAAGTATAAGAACTTACTGAACCTAGTGCTTGGGGTCCTTGTTGAAGTCCGCTGAGTGGGGCGGATACTTGGACCCCAGCTTTCTAGAAGCAATAAACCTCGCTGTGTGATTTGCATTATCGGCTCTGTTCTCTGTCCTTGAGGGGTAGTTAACTCCAAACTCTAACACCGGCTGAAGGAAACGCTTTTTTGAGCCCCTGAGATGACTGTGTCAGAGATAGAATTTTTTCTAGGGTGTGAGGCAAAGCCAAGTAAGCACAGGGAGTTTGTGTGTGCTGATGGGCAGTTTGGTCCTTTGGGGAAGTGGACCAAACTGGGAATGCAAAAAAGTTGGGGGGGGGGGGGGGAATAACTGATGTCTCGGTAGCTCCTGTGGACAGTCCCGAGGGCACAGGAGGAGCTGGAGGCAGATGCATGTGGCCCTCATCGAGTGGATTGAGATCACGAACCTTTCCCTGCTTCGCATGCAGGTCTGAAGGCCAAAGAAATTCCTAGCCAAGGATGCAAGGATGATCTTGCTGATATGTTGAAAAATAAACAAGATTCAACTATTCTTAGATACGGGCAGATGTTGGCTCAAAGGAGTAATGGCTATAGGAAATAGGACATCATGAGAGACTGCCCCTGTTCTAGCTCATTCCCTTTAAGAGTTGGCCACCGGGTAAAGAACTAAAGACAGGAACCAAGATTATGCACAGACTAGTAACTAGTAACACAGACTAGTAACAGACTAGCAGCTGGAGAGATGGTACAGTAGGTAGGGGATTTGCCTTGCAGGTGGCCACGCAGGTTTGCTCCTGAGCCCACCAGGAGTGTGATCCCTGAGCACAGAGCCAGGATTAAGTCCTGAGCACTGCCGGGTGTGGCCCAATAAACAAATAGCAACTGTAACACGGTAGCACTGTCCTCCCATTGTTCATCGATTTGTCATCGATTTGCTCGAGCGGGCACCAGTAACATCTCACAACAAATTGTGAGACTTGTTACTGTTTTGGGCATATTGAATACATCATGGGTAGCTTGCCAGGCTTTGCCGTGCAGGCAAGATATTCTTGGTAGCTTGCCAGACTCTCTGAGAGGGGCAGAGGAATTGATCCCTTGGCCATGTCAGCCACGTGCAAGGCAAATGCCTTACCAGCTGTGCCATCACTCCAGCCACAATAAAAAAAAAAAAGTTAACCAGGTGGAAAGATGGTGAGATGGCGGATGGGGTTGTTTTTATTGAAATAGCATTAGGAGATGGTTTCTTTCAGTATAGTGTTCAAGAACACAAGGCTTGTTTTTGGACTTCTGAGTCCCCCATTTGGCTGTTTAACTTGAGGCAACTAACGGTATCTCTTTGAGACTCCTATTCCTTCCCCCATATAAATGGTATCACACTCCCCAGCT